AGCCACCAGGGCCCAGATGTGCTTCTCCCTGTGCTGCTCCATGCTGTAAAAGCCTTGGCTAATGCTTGCTGATTAGCAAGTCTTCCATCTCACCCACACTCATGTTGGACTTGATGATCCTTATGGGTCCCTTCCAACTTGAGATATTCTATGATTCTATGTTTACAGTTTTCAGATAGGCCCTTCCTCCTATGGGAGGAGAGAGCCATCAACTCCTGCCTCTATATAGGTTAGCAAAGCCCGTGGGTGAAGTTGTAACTTTCAGGATCACTGCTCTCTTGTGAATGACATGCATTGAGTTTGCCAGCCACCTTGAAATTTCTCCTAATATCAGGTAAACCTGAAGTAAAGTGAGTTTGCTTCATACAAAACCTTAAGAAGTTAGTGACCTTTACAGCAGAGATCGTAGTGTTTCATCACTTATGAAAACAAGGAGTTCAGCAGCTCTCCATCTAAAACAGGGACTGTGGGTCTGACATGCTGTGGCAGGAGACTGTAATAACAGAAACTTCTAAATTGAACTTTGTCCTGCTGTTTGCTTTCCGGAGTTATACTTAAGATTCATCAGCCCTAACCATCTACATAATGCTCCTAACGTTGGATTTCATGTAGGAAACTGCCAACTTGACTTATTTTGCAGTGCCAAAAATCTAACTGTATTAAAGTCTAATGAAAAGGTTGAAAAACTTCTACAGGGATTAGTAAGAAACAACACAGATGTAGAACATAATGTTCTTTATATATATATGTGTGCATATGTATGTATATATATTTTTATATACTTACATGAAAAGCAGTGCATTCTTCATAGTATGCTAAGTCTAGCTTAAAAATATATCTCTATGCTTACAAAACTTATAAGGATGAAATGAAAATATCCAACTTTAAATTATGAAACACATAGTTCTGATCTTAAGAATCTACTTCACTGAACATTTTACATATGCAGAGTCTCAGGTCACTCCTTCAACCTATTATGTGTTCAGTAAACGCACAGAGTAAATGAATGTACGCACCTGAATAGTCGTCTGTTCCATAATCTTCTGTAGGGTCCTCAATGGGACTAGAGCGCACTCTTTCCACTTTTGGAAAATCATTTCTTGGTGAGTAAGGCTGGATGGATGTTCCATACAGTACTAAGGACCACTCTTTCAATTTGCCTAGAAGTTAAGTAAGTTAAAATCTAGTTTTAGAAACGATTTCTATTTTCTGTGTCCTACAAAAACATATCACTTGTAAACATGACTTTGTAGGAAGGTATGGAAGACATTGCTTTTCAAATAAGTCTTAAGTTTAATATAGATAGTGCAATCACTGCTTCACTATAAACTGCAAAAGCATACCTTCTGCAATCAGATTTTTACATGGTATTTTCATTGAGCTCCAGCCTCTTGTAGGTTTAGTAAAAGTTTGCACCACGGGTTGAACTCAATATAAACAATAAACAACAAAACCTCTGGCCATACAGTTATTTGGAAAAGGTATATGGTACTCAACAAGGAGTGTTTGCTCTGAATTTCACTTTCCCTCAGAACATTAACAATCCAGTAATTATTTTTTGAGATCTCTTAGCTAACTAGCTGTATTCAGAATTCTGACAAGAAAAAAAAAATTGTTTATTACTCAAGAGCACTTTTCATTGGCTTACAGGACACATCTTGATGAACAGGAAACAACTTCTTTTAAAATCTCCATGGTAGAACATCAGTGTCCCCTCCCTAGCCAGCATAATTTCTTATTTATTTGCCCTAGTTATTTGGAAGATATATCACTGCGTTGTCTGCATTCATCACTAATATTTTATCCTCTCAGTACTTGAGTGAAGAAAGAAAAAATTGTTTGCCTGCCTGAAGCATTATCTGACTTTTTGGTAATTTTTTTTTTTTCTGGAAGAATAAAAAGATAAATGTGTGTAAAGTCATCAGTTCAGGCCGTCAGGACACAAAGTGTGAAATTCCAGTCCCCACCCTTCTACGGTGGTAGAAATTCTACCTGGTGAATTAATTCTGTGAAAGAGCAAAAGCACTCAGGCCTGAAATAATGCCTCAAGTAATGATGCATAAAAAACACATCCCTGCTTGAAAAGATGGAATGTAAATTTGGTCTTATCCTATTCTCTTGATTATATTTATCTATGTTGGAGTAGCTAGTTGTAAATGTCAAATTCTCATCAGAAGAGAAAGGAAACAGAGGAGCAGGGAGTATTTCTTTTCTGAATTTGAAAGGTCCTGGTTTTGATGCTCTTCTGTGGTTAAAATACTCTTCCCTAGAAATACTATTCAAAAAGAAATATAATCCAGGTATGTCTCTTCTTCAGAAAATCACTCAGTATACTTCATGTAAAATTAAATTCAAGCAATCTTCCCCTTCTTTCATTTTAATGATACTCAATAATTTGAGCTTTCATATTGTTCACTTGGACTTTTTCAACCCGTGCAAGCAAATTACTCGGACCTTTACAAGTGATTTTCTGTGTTTTTCCCAATGTCATCTGGTGTCCTCCACTGACATGCCCAAGACAATATGTTATCTCTCTCCTTTTACATTCATCCTCCAAGCAGTAAGCAACAATAAGCAAAACTACTACCTGACAGACAATAGCCCAGTTCTTTTAAATGGTTTACACTGGGGTTAAAGATGGGAAACTGTTATCTCTCTGTCTCTTGTCAACCCAATTTAATCTTCCTGGGGCATAAATTTCTACACTTCATGTGAAACCTTCTCTGCTCCATGCTCAGTTTTTGAGAAGAAACATTAGGCCACAGACTACATCACATGGCAGTTGTTTCACACAGTAGCTTCCAACTTTTCACAGCTATAGCAAAGCATTACTTTTGTTAAAGAGACATTCAATCCTGACCTGATTTAAAAAAATTAACTGATGAAGAGTCTACTAAACCTGCTGCCAAACCACTGGCTAATTACCTTGGCTGTAAAACTGCATGTACCTTATTTTCAGTTTGTCTCTTCCTACCACTAGCTCACAGCCGTGTAGCTCTTTGGTCCCCACTAGATTAAAAAGACCCAAATCACGTATTTTCTTCCTGTATATACATGTGGGGATCAAGTTATCTCTCAGTGTTCTTTAGAGTGATTCAGCTGGGTCCTTAAAAGCACTTTTCTTTTTAGGAAAGGAGTCACACACAGAGCTCATTTTCAACCATATAGGCAATCATCTCTAGAGCCTTTTCAAAGCTAAAGCTTCTCCATGTACGGTCTCTGTCCTTTTTGTGTTTTAACCCACTTCTACAACATATGGACTGTAATATATTGGATGCAAACAAAAATGTTTGTTTTGCTAAGTTATTCAGATCTTTTAATCCTTGTCATTATTATGCTCTGAAGATCACTAAACTTTCCAAGGGTTGATTTTATACTTTTCAGAACACTGGTAAAAATACTGAATACTAGAAAAAAGTATTTGCAAGAACCCACTAAAAAAACCACAGGTAAAGATGCTCCTCAGGCACAGTGTATTGTGTCTGTACTTTACACACATGGAAGGGCTTTTACTAACATTACTGCAGCAAGGATTGGTGCTTTGAATGTATACCTAATGCAAAAGGGCAGCAAGGGGAATAATGCAAGGTCTCTCTGGAGATTAGTTGCCTTTTAAGAATGGTTCAGTAAATAAAGAAAGGAAAAATTCATGTGACTTGCCAGCAAATAAATGAAGTCTGCCTCAAGGCAGGTTTAATTTGCACAATGAAAATATTTCAATAACTAAGTATATATACATACACACACACTTTTATAATGAATAAACAAAGTATGCACATTTAGGCCAAAATCTTTCTTTCCCCATTTTTGGCTGATTCCATCATTTAGTTTGGCTAGAATAATCCTTTACCCTGCTTGTATTTAGTATGTAACAGAGGTCCCATATTGTATGTATAGGAGAAAGGGTATATCACAGTTTTTCACAGCAAGCACATGTCCACCTCCATAAATTCTACAGAATTAAATGCAGAAATCACATGCACTACTTTTATGAACTGGACCCTGCATTTCTTTACGGGTAACAGATGTAGCATTACCTTGCCAATGCAGGGATATGATGACATGTTGGCAGTTTGTTCTCAATTTGATTACAGGAAAACTGCAGCTCTTAATTATAAGACCTTTCAATAGCTAAACAAACACACGCACACAACAGAAACAAAAAACAGGCATAATGGTGATATCAGTGTGATAAACTGCAGGCTACAGTGATAAACTGGAGAGGCACCATAAATTACGTTTAAGCACCTTTTGTTTACTTCATGTTCTGTTCAGTGCAGAGACTAACCCCAACATGCCCCAACAGCCGAGTTTATCCACCACTGATATGTGGCAGGCACTTTCAAATCTTTCTGAACAGAAGTGTTACTGGACAGCTTCCATCACAGGGCAACCACCACTCTAGAAAGTTGGCGGATGTACTACTAGACAGTATACAATGAACCAGGATCCAAATTCACAACCAGACTGCATCTTGTGAAACCCAAATGCATGTAAAAACCTAACGAGTCTCAAGCACTGTTTCATGTTGTGGTTAAAAGAAAAGTGAAGCAGGATTCCTTCAGTGTATCAGCTTCCTCCGCAGCCCTTGGTTGGGCAGGTCTACCTTCTCCACATCCCCTGGTCTTACTGCCCCTTTTCTTCCAGAGTTGAGTCTTTAGGCTTTAGTCATCATGGAGCAAAAGAAATCAGTCCCATGAGATTAGCCACTGTAGCACTAAGAGTACATATAAAGTATTGAAAGCAATACATCAGTAAGACCTATACAACTACATAGGTAAAACAGCAGTGTGCAGGAACAGGTTTTAAAGTGTAAAGACGGAAACGTAGCTGGCCACATTTAGACTGTCCTGGTGACATAAAAGGGCTGTAAAAGAAGTCTGGAGAATAGCCCAGATGATCAGTTTGCACAATGGCTCCATGCTACCTCTTTTCTAGGCTTTAGTACAGGGAGTGTGCCAGGGAAGAGAGGAACAGCTGAAATGTGTTGCATTCTGTCTCTCCTTCACGCATGTTGGATGGGTTCTGGTCACACAAAGGTGAAGAGCTACCCTAACTTGTCCATCAAGCCAGAGACATTCCTGGCTGCATCAAGAATAACAAGTGCAAGATGGGGTTGAAAATCATTGATTTTTGTCTCTTCTCAGTAATCCAATTAAAATTAAATTACTTGGTTGTTGTTTAATATCTCCCTTATATCAAATTCGAAAGCAGTGAAAATTAAAAAAAACCCCAAACACCAAACCTTCCCCTGAATCTCTGAACACTTCTGCTCACAGTCGATGGCTGCTTTTCTGAATATATTTAAAGAATACCCCTTTTTAGTGTACTGGAAACTTTGCTCTGCATTTACTGGTGCAATTAACATCACTTAGCTAAGAACCTTTCACCACTGCAAAACCATGGTGAAAAGTGATCAGTGCAGATAAAATGAAGTGAAAACTGAAACACTGGCAATGCTAGTTTTTTCCTTTCAGAGCTCTAGAGGATGATAATCAAGATTTTCAAAATGCCATCCTTAAAGTTAATCACTTGAGTATACAGCTGACATTTAAATGACCCTGGCCACCCTAGAGTTACCACAGACTTTAATAACAAGTTGTTTGCTGTTCAACAATTATGGAAATCACACTGATTAACTTGGTCTTCAATAGGCACTTATTGGCCTCATCTTACATAACAGGTTTTAAAAATTTTGGCTTATGACTGCTGTTTAGCATCCATAAAATATACAGGTTATGCAGACAACTGAGACAGGCAATAAGAGAATATGATTGATGGCCAGGCAGGCAGAGAAACTTTTTTAAAAAGCAGAGAGATTGGCTATCTGGCCATCTGCTGCATTAAGAAGAACATAACTCTGCTAATGAAGAGCAGAAATAAAGAACTAAAACCCTCATTCAATTCCACCAATTTCAACAGCAGTTGAGTGAGGCTGATCTCTGTGTTAGATTTTTTAGACAGAAAACTATCTAAGCAGCATAAAATCAGCACTTCCATTTTGTCATAATTTTGAAACGACTGGGTTTATTTTTGTCCAAAGTGAAATGTATAAAACCAGTTGAGTTTGGCCTATGCACCACTTGGAATAAGAAGGAGACTGGACAACTCTATGTTCACACATTAGAATTCCTCCTGTGCCCTGGCTTGCTCTTAGTCATGATGGAAATACTCCTACTGAGTTTGTAAGCTGCAGGAGTGATTGGACCAGCTGGCCTCCCAGAAAGGCACATTTACCTTGAACAGGTGAACTGCACATAGCCTTCATTCCAATCTGAATAATTTAAGAAAGCAAGTTTCAGCTAAGAGGAAGACAAGGTACTCCACCTCTGTATCTGGTGGCAGAAACATTAATGGGCCTTTCTTGGACAAAACAGAATTGAAACAATTAACATAACTTCTAGAATAGTCAGCTACATGCACATGCCCTATCACACTAGCCTTTCTTATTTTAAATTCAAAGCTTTTAAGCACTTCAGTTCGCATTTTAGTCAACGTTTCTTTATGTGTGCTTTTTCATGTAGTAGAAACAATAAAAGCATTTACATTTAGTGAGGCTCATTTGAATAGTTTTAATGACTTCCAATAACCTACTAATTCAGGAACAAACATACTTAAAAATCCTGCATTGTTAAGTTCACAAAGATATATTTTTATAACTTCACGTACTTTAAGTTAACATCTATGTCTCACAATTCAGAATTGATTTTTAGCAAATCAATTGGAAAACTCTTACTGCTTTGTGAGTTCACTTAGCTGCCTGAGATGGAATGTATCTTTTATTTCACTGAATTATAAACTACTTCTATGGCTAATGTCATTGTAGTCCTAAATATATTTCATAGCAGAATTCTTATAATTTTTATCTATCAGAAAGTAGTAATCAACTAGATTTGTCACTTCCAATGTAATATTATTGCATTCTTACATGCTGTCCAACAAGAGTGTTAGTTTAGATTTAGTGATAAATGATTTCCAATACATCAGTAGTTTTCATCTCTCTAACATGTTTTAATCTTGATTATTCATTTGAGTGGTATTTCACCTTTGATTATTTTTATTAAAGGGTTTCCACCGGCTTTGATGTGAGGCTCTGAAGGAAGGACTATATTCACTCAGTATTCATACCTAAACAGTTGTATTTTTGTCTGTCTATAATGTACATATTTCAAAATGGGTTTTAAGGTTTAAATTTTCAGTAAGTCTAAATGCAAGTATACACTCATGTCTCATAACCAGCAAATGGAAGCATGTACTCCCGTGAGTCTCTTTGAAAGCCTTTCTCTCAATCTGCATTTCTTTCGAAGTGTTCATACTGAAATGTGTGAATGAAACTGAACTGTGCAGTGGGAATTAAAAGCAGAAGTACTTCTGTAGCTTCAAAAATTCTTACTAGGAGCACAGTTTGTGAGTGGACAAATGCCAGGTCTGAGCACTCTGCCCATACACACAGGAGCACAATCCAACCTACCAGTGGTAGCAAGCAGTGAAATCTCTTTCTCTTGTATAGTGGGATTTTCTGGTTGTGTAAACACCGATAAATGCCACTTTTTCTTATGGGTAGGATAAAAAATACAGAACAAAGAAAAACATAAGGAAAATAAATCCCTGGGCTCTATATAGCTGATATAGGCCAAGTAAATATGGGCCCTGCATCAGCCATGAAAGCCACAGGCAATATGAATACAGCAGAGTAACTCTGTGCTGCTCTAACTTATGTTGAAGACCTGTCTGATAAATCTATATTCAACCTCCAAGAAAACAGATGCCTGCATATGGAAATACTATAACTTCTTTCAAATGTGGCACATGCGGTTTCATGCAGTTTTGTATCTTTTTGCTTGAAAACTGCACGTAGTAAAGATTTGGCTTTGTTTAAAGCACTGACTCTTGGTAACCTGTCAGATGGTACAGGGGTCTGTCTCTGCTTGAGGAATTCATGTCTGGTATGATGTAGTTCTGAATGGCCAAAGTCTTTTTTTATATTTTGAGGCAACACACGCGACTACAAGAAAGAGGGCAGTTTACCCCTTAGAAGATGAAATTCTCCATCGAAACCAGAAGTAAGTGCAGAATAAAAGAGAACCACGTGTCTTAAATAGCAAACAACAGCAACATAAAAATGAAGAGTGTGTTGATAACTGAAATTAAGAATAATGCTCTTCAGAGCTCTGTCTTCACACTAAAACTGGTGAGATGTTCTAGCTGTAAATAAAAGTTGGAAAACAGTTAAGGCAGTATTAGCAACTGCAAGCATTCTTCTGAATTCACTGAGTCCAAATAAAGGTTAGAGTCATACCCGGAGTCTTGAAATTTCTCAGCTGAGATGGAGTGTCACAGATTTCCAAGATCCAGTCACCTGCTGCTTTTTCACTCCAGCAGTGAGTAGTCATAAACTCCCAGTTTTTGAATCCTTCCATGGAATGATCAAATAGCCTAAAATAAATCATGATATTATTTTAAGTGAACCATTGTATTTGGGGAGCTAAGCCTCCAAGTCTGCAAACTCTTGAATGATATCTTAATTAGCTAGTTCATTCATCTGTGCCTTTACAAAATTTTACTCCTGATGGTTTTCCCACACATATTTCAAGTACATTCAACAGTTTCTTGTTGTTTTGATGGGAGAGATTCTTTATGTGCCATCATTTGTCATAACGTGAAAAAGAATGGAAAGAGAAATCATTGCAAAAAAAAAAAAAATTGCTAATGCTGTTTGATAGATTCATGTGTCTTGGGAAAGTGTGTACAATACAGCATATCTTTTGCTTTAACAGCATGATGTAAATACAAAGAACTCATAAGTTGGAAATTTTCTGTAGCGTTTATTTTTGGCTTTGCATTGGAATACTTAAAAGGGGTTTAAAACCAATAAAAAGTATTAAGTGACTGAGACAATATTAGCAATTCAATATATGTGACTTCTTGTGAGGAAATAAAATGTAACTGAGACATTGGTCTCAATCCTCAAATGACCAAGGTAACATTCTCTTCAAACACTTGACAGAATTGAGTTTGGGTAAAACTGAGAGACTAATGGCATCTGATGGTTTCATCTAACCAACAACATTACCATAATTTAATTACCTAGGTATTGGGTGAAAAGGTTGGAGCTTAGGCCTGGATTATGATAATTTCTAGTATGGGGGCCCAGTTCAGAGGCTGCAATGTGATGCCGATCCCATGGGGCAAGGGGAAGGAGGACTGGCCAGAGATTTTATTACCGAAAACTGGAATTTATTAATGAGATTTTAGAAAGACACAGGAGAATTTGTGCTTTTATTCAGTGCTGACACCATGTTGCTTGGTACCCCAAAGCTATTGAAGGGAGGTGCACTCTAATCAAGACTGTTGCCTCCAATAAAATGGCACAGCTCAGCTTTAAAAAAAATACATATATATATACCCATATATACGTATGCATATAAATCTCTATATAGATACATGCATATATACACACTTACATGTATGCATATCTATTTTTTAATATATGCACATATATACATATATATGTATGTATATATATTTATCACTATTTTAATTTGGTCTTTATGTGTGAAAATTCCACTGGTAATAGCTATGCTTAAATATTTTTTGTAAAACAAGATCTCTACAATAGAAAACCTGCTAGATTTAAAACACTTTTCCAGAAAATAGAGAAAAATTTAGTATTAGACTACAAATATATTATATTTTACACTCACTTGATTCTTTACTGTTATTTTCTAAGCTAATTTCAAGCTTTATTCTCAAAAGGTTGTGAAGTTCAGCAAACATTGGGAAAGCAGGATACTTTTGCAGCAATGTGAGCATGTGTCAATTTCTGGTAACAACTGCCACACAGGATGTGAATAAAATGCCGTACTTCTTGCTGAAATCTTTGGTCAGTCAGAGGCATGGGGTCAGGTACCGTGTATCCACACTTACTTCAATAGGACATGTATGGATCTGCATGCTTTGTGCACTCTATAACGCTCAGCCCAGAGCTGATTTTCATGCTCTCATTTGTGCAACCTTTTTCCATTTTAAATGAATGCTTATAATAGCACTCTTTTTTATTAGTGTTGATAACATTAAATCAAAATATAGATATATATTTAGAATTAGGCTTCATTTGCACTGATAATTGGGTGAGATTTTCTTCTGATGTAATTCTGAGCCTCTGTGTGTGCATCTATCTACATGTGTATGTAAATATATTCTGCCAGCAGAATTGGCCTGTTTCATGTCACTGTTAAATCGGTTGTTTGAATACAGCAAATCTCACAAACACATGGTACATATCATTTACTGAAAGGGTAGAAATTATTAAGCAGTTATTATCCAGTGTTTGCATGTGTGCATGTTCAATTTATGTAATTATGTAGGTTATTTCCAACAGTTAGTCAAATTATCATACCGTGTTCTGCTGATAACTAATGTATTACTTTCTAAACACCCTGTCAATCCATCAAGGCAGAAATATTCCTCTTTGCCACTGTGGCAACTAAGTTATATAGTATTGTGTAAGTACTGTGCAATTATATTGTAAATTCTATATTCACTGGGCTTCCATTCACATACATAGAAACACAAGTTGCTGTCTGTTTTTACTTTGATTAGTCCAATATTTCCCATAGTATTTTTTTGTTCAAGGGTGTTTATTTGTCATGTTTTGGAGTTTTAAATTGCTTGTCAGATTTCCATTTTAATATTGCATCATTCTTTTAAGTAATTTTGGGAGGAAGGGACAAAAATCCCTTATGACTTTATCATAGGTATATAAAAATACCTTTACCTAAAATACGTGATGGCTGCAACTGTAAGCTTTCATATCTCCATCCATGGAAATGGAGAAAATCCGTTAATATTCTTTCATAGAAAATTGACTAGTTTTTTTGAAAGAATACTTTAAAGATTTGAATTTTATAGAGTAAGGTATAAATTGGAATCTTGTAATGTATGAACTGTGTGTCTACAAAAGATTCTACAAACAAGTCAAAAAGCTACAGACAGATAAACAGAACAGTTAAAAAAAAAAGTAGAAAGATACTGACTCTGAGGCTGTGTGTATGTATATATTGTACATACTCAATGGTCCAAGTATTTTTGTGTTGCTCTGCTTATGCACTAAACTCTCAAATCAAAGAACCTGTGAGGCAGTGCATGGATTTCCCTTTCAGTGGTGTTAAATGAATGAATGAAACGATTGAATGTTCAGGTGCACTTTCTCTTATTCAGAAAGAAATACATATGGAATAGGATCTTTTAAGGAGCATGGAGCCAGTCCAGATAGTTAATTGATTTTGTTATTTGTCAGACTGATACAGAGTCAAAATTCATATCAAGGACACACTTACACACAGCTTATGATGGACTAGTAAATTATTAGTATATGGTCTGATGAATTGTCCATTGACTATTACAGGTCATTATAGATTAAAATAGTTAAACGAGATTATTAGAATAATCTGATAATTTTTATGACCATGATCATATACATCTACAACACCTGTGCTCATGCATATACCATACTTTTAAGTACCAAAGTGAGTAACAGCATTTGAATCTTTATAACTTATTTGTTAACATAACCGCAACAGAACGCCAGATCTGTTATACAATTACTCAGGTGACCTCTCTTAGTAACAGGACATTAAAGTTGGGATGGATGCGACTATATGGCTGACTACATCCCGAGAAACTAATTATGGGCTGCTGCTTACAAAGACTAGCATTACAGTTAAAAATAATGACTCTTCTCTCTCTGAGAAATTTTATGATATACTCATCACATGCCGTATGTAGGTCTATATAAGAATATATATGTTACTGAGTGCAGAGTAAAATAATTATTTCCTTAAAACAAATTCAAGACGCTTGGCCTCTTCCACTGCTGACATTTTAGCCTAGAAATTGCATCACCTTTCTATTTAAGAATATAACTTCAAGCAGAAATATTAATCTGTAATCAAATTTTGGACTCAGAGGAAGACAATTAGCCACTTTCTTGCAGTTGCACAAGTGGGAACGTAAGGCTAGTCTCTCACAGTTAAATCTACTAGCGTCAAAAAAACAAACAAACAAGTGTGTCAGCTTTTTAGCATAGAATCTCTAGGTTCCTAAATGCTCAGAAGAATTTGTTTTAATTTGTTTTAATTTGTTTTAATTTCTAATTTCATGTGAGAAAAGGCAGTGGGGGTAGGGGATCCATTTGGTAACACCACCATCTCCCATCACAAACAGTAAAAGGTAAATGCATAAAAGGAGCTTTTTTATTATCAAGATCTTTTTTTCACCTCAGAAGGTGCAGCTGCACCTGACTGACAGCCATTCTTGTATATTGAACTGACCACACCAAGAGCCAGGAAGCCTTGCACTGGCTGATGGCTGGGTCTGCAGTGGAGTAGGGGGCAAGAGAAGGCTATTTTCTCCTCTGTAGCAGCAGTCTTTGTTTATGATGTGCTCCAGCCTATTAAATCGGCAGCCTGACAGGCAAGCGGTCCTTGCCCACTAGTCTAATTGGCCACAAGACTTCATGTGAGCTTACTGTTTGAAAAGAGTACAGAGTGCCTTCCTGAGCTGTGCACCTGAAAATGTTTTGGTCAACTATTCTCCTTAGAGCAGCTCTTCTCCACAGGGTTCAACCACCAGCTCCTTGTGAGATGTAGCCTGTGAGGAACTTCAGACAGCCCAAACTGACTTAACCAAAGCTTCAGCCAGACCCTAGTGCCCACCTGGACTGAAGTATTCAGGAAAAAAAGAAATGGCCAGAGAGTACACAGGCACTTCAGAAGCTTTCTCACCTACATGTGCCAGGGAAGATCACTTAAAACTTCTGGATGTGGATCTAAAAAGGATGTATTTAAAATGTATCCATACACATTTTTTTTTTAGATTTCCATTTTACATCTGGTTATCACAGTTGATTTTATGAAGCAATGGAGATCTCTGAGCTCTCATGATAAAGTTGAGTAGCATGAACAACAGAGTACAGTGCCTGTCAGCCTGAAGTACTGGACAGTACAGCAACCATCAACTTTAAATATGGAGAGCTTGTCCCCAGGGACTACACATTAAATGCTCCATCATGACCTATAGACATGTCAGGTTGCTGAGCTCCACACACCACACTGGTCAGTCAGCTGTGTGGCTGATACTTATAGCTCTCTTCTTAAAAGCCACATGTGCTTTCCTATTGAATTTGCAGTAAACGTTCAGAAACCTCACTCTAAACAGGAAGAAAACCTAATGCAAGAGCGTGTATGAACCTGGTGCCATATATACAGACTTTTCCTACCCTATCCTAGGTTGGAAAAGGGACATCTGATTAGGGTAAGGGCAGTAGGGGTCACTGACTGTACATCACACAATCCAGTTTATTCCAAGTGAAACTCAATATAGCAAGTGTTATAGTAAGATTGAGGTGGGTCAAGTTTTCATAAGACTAGGA